CGCACTCCCCACCCGTCAGCAAAGCCCGGCGTGTGTCCCCTGTCACATTATGGTCCGGGACTGCTGGCTCTTCTTCTGAGGTTGCCTGAATTGACCAAATCCTCTTTTCTGAGCTGGCCCCAGGATGGCCTTTTGTCACAACGGCAGGCAGAGGATGGACAGTGACTCTACCACAGAGTTGCGATATCCATGAGAGGGCAAAACAGGCCCATGTTCGCACAAGCAGAAGCTGAACAGGTAGGCTAGAAAAGGAACTGCTGCCTGACGTGTTTCAGGTGGCTGCCACAAAACCCTCAGTGTGGCGTTCGGGAGCCACTGAGAACCTTACGGTGGTTTTACATCGCTCTGGGTCTTGAGGGAGCTGCATGGTCTTGTGTCATGGCAGCTCCCGGGCGGTATGGCTCACTGTGACCAGCTAGGATAGAGCCTCTGAAAATGCTCCCAGTCACAATGCTGCTGGAGTGGAAGAGGCAAGTTAAGGACAGGAACACTTGCAATTAATGTGTTTCTGAATTTTTAAAAAATTTTTTTTTTTGTAAGCGGCACAGTAACTGGGAATGAAAAGCAGAGGTTCAGCAAAAGCTTACAATAAAGATCGCTAAAACCAGCTGATACTTTCCCATTAACCGTATTTACCATCCCATTAAGCAGCAGCCTCTGCTCTTAAGTTGTCAGTGGGCTTAAATCTACTCCTGGCAGATGTCCTTACTAAATGCTTCACAAGTCCTCTGCACGAGCTGTATTGTAGAGACAAAGCCCAGGGCCTTACAAGGACATGGCATGTTGTAAAAGGATTTTCAGAGGGTGGTCAGGGGAGTAGCATCATTTCATCTGATTCCAGCTTCTTCAGCCTGTCCTGATTTGGAAGTGGGAAGATCAGATCAGAGGCAGGGACCTGACAGCAGAGGAAAAGCGGTTGCCTTTCTTTTTGTCTAAAGTGCTTTCAGCCAGCCTGGTAATGGGACTTGGCAGGGATCTGCGAGTACGTTTCTGACCTTGCGTGGGTTTCCTTTGTGCGGGGCTCTCCTGGCCTGCATGAGGCAGCTGCACTGCTCCCCAAAGGCTGAAGTTCCTCTGCACTCAGCTCCTTCCCCGCTTCCTGCTGGCTTCCCCTTGGGTCGCAGAGGGGAGGAACGAGCACATCCGTACAAGAGCTGAGCTGGAGCTCTGTTCTCTACCTGTGCGACGCTGCTTCTCGGGCACCCTCATCCTCTGGGATTTCTTTTGCTGCTGTGGTGCCTGTTGGTCTGTCCTGGTTGTCTGGCCCTGCCCGGACGCACCCCTGCTGCGCTGGTAGGTGACACGCTGGGGAAGAGGCTGTCGTGAAAGGCTGTACGGGTAAGTGAGGCTGAGGACAGTTTTCCCCATGACCCCTGGTTTGAATACAATCACCTTGGGATAAGGTAGGTGGTGTTGGGAGGATGCTCCCCTGGAGAGTTTCGGAGCAACTTCTGCAGAGCTCTCGGAAACATTAGAGAGTTTGGGATTTTTTTGGAAAGAAGTAGACTGGAAGTGCTCAGTGTTTACTGAATAGGCTAAATGTGTCTTGAACTGACCACCAAGGATGAGGTGCTTACCTGCGGGACCTGTGTGTTGAACCGTGAAGCTGAAAGTCCCTGACCAGCTCCACTACTATACACACCGTGCTTGGTTTCACTGCCTCTCTCTCCCAACTGGGGAAATGGGAAACCTGGATTTAGCCTCTGATTGTGCTGCTGGCTGTGTGATCTTGAGGCGAGACATTTAATCTCTTCTTTTCCCTTGTCAGTTAAGCTGGAAGCATCCAGGCCAACTTCACAGTGGACTGTGGGGATTAATGAGTTTGTTTGCTCAGTGCTCTAGAAATCTAAAGCACGAAATTAGTGTTTACAAGGCATTTGCCACAGCTTAGTGAAGCAAAAAAGTATCTTTCAGCGTCCCAAGCTGTGCAGCCTCCCCAGAGCTCAGAGGAGGTTCTTGGCATTTGGGAGCGAGAAGAATAAGAGAGCATGGCACATGCCTTTCCAGTGCTGAGAGAGATGGAGGCTCGAGGAAAACAGGAGATGAGAGCTGTGCATTAGAAACGCTGTTTTGTGTCCCTGGAGCCGTGGGTTCAGTTACAGGCAGTATCACAAATCTCATTTGTTCCTTCCCACGTACTGCCTGCATTTCCCTGACAAGACCTGGAAGGTTGAAGGGCTCGTTATGCAGTGCTGCCGTTAAAGTGCTCATGATTTATATTTGAGGAATCCAGGAATTTGCTCTGGTTTTAGCTGTACAACGCACCCTTCCCCCTTCCCTGGGTCTGCTGCACTCCCTGGCAGCTGCCCTAAACCCCAGAGTGCTTAGTGGCTCTGTGTGTATCTAATTAGGTACGCGCTTGGGATGTTATTTGTGTGGAAATATTACTCCAGGATATGCTATGACGCTGGGGTTTGCTGAGTCAAGACAGTTCTTCAGCTGGGATGTCCAGAGTCTTGCCTATTCTTACATCCGATCCCTTGGACTGTTGTCAGGAGAGGAGCCTGAGCAGGGCTGGATGAAAGGCCGCTGAGATTAGGGCAAGGAAGTAATGTGACGTGCAGCCACGCATCACGGAGCTGCGAGATGGCAAGTTCTGGTCTTTCTGCAGAGGAGGCAGTTTATGGAGAGGAAAGGGGTATGTTTGGGGTGACTTTTCCCCATGCCTGAGAGGCCAAGCTCCTTGCATGCTGGTACAGGGAGCGTGCCCGGAGCCACAGGGATGCCACGCAACTGAGTGGCATGTGGGAGTGCTCGTGACAGGAGTGATGGAGACCAGCATGGTTCTGCTTTGCTTGCTCGGAGAGGGAGCTGGAAAATGCAGTGGAGAGGAACTGAATAAACTCTGATCCCATGGGCCTCGTACTGATGGACTTCAATATCTTGGGTAAAAGCTGAGAGTCTGCCATCCCACATTAGTGGAAAAAAATCTTCTATTCCCTTGCTGCTTGGGGGGCCCCCCCTCTTACCTCTTGAGCTTCACGTCCTCTCTGCTGGCATCTGCTTTCCCAGGCACATTTGCCGTGGTTTACTAAAACAGCTTTGGTTTGCTGGGGCGGAGTGGAATGGACGTGATGTTTTGTCTGTCAAAAAGCACTCTCCCAGCCCAGGCCACCAAGGAGTCTTCGAGCTTCCAGCTGCACCACTCCCATATCCTGAAAGTGAGGGCATTCAAAATGAAGGTTATGAGTGTTTAGAGGGCAGTGGATATATCAACTTTGCTGTCATCGCTTCTCCTGTGTTCCCAAGCTGCTATTTTCTTTAAAAGGAAAAAAAAAAAATACAGCAAGGTTAAAGGAGTTTTCTAGGCGAAAAAAAAAAAAAAAGACTTAGGGGAAAAACATCTCCCGGTGGAAACTAGTCATAAATAGAAAAAAGGCACTAGTTTTCACATCAAAGCGAAGGCTGCGGCTGAAGCCTTTTCTCACCAGTGTGTGGAGACAGAAGAGTTGCCATATTTTGAACAGGCTGAGTTCTGTGCCTGTGTTTGCATGAGCTGTCAGAAAGGTGCTTAACAACAGAGCTGAACGTCCGTCCCATCTTCCGTGCATCTGCCGCGAGCGGCTGCGGCTTCATTTATCTGGGAGGAAACGGCACCAGCAGCCTCTGGCTTTTGAATGGAGGAAGTGGATTTTTTTTATGGTGGTGCAGGCAGCTGGGAAAATCTTCCTGAGCTCTTCACGGACTTCCTCTGCACCATTGGGGAAGGCGTGCGAGGGGCTTTGAGAAGGGGCCGGTTGCCCTGCGGTGCGGCGCCGGGGCGGGTTGGGTCGGGGTTGCAGGAAGAGGCAATAAAATCCAACGGGGGATGGAGGAAGGGAGGCTCCCGCAGCCCCTCTTGACAGGCGCATGGCTGAGGGTTCACCGCCTCGTCCAATTCCTGCACACCACCTTTCTGGTGGGGATACATTCCCCCCCCCCTGCTCTAATCTTTCTGGGTTGGTCTCCTGAGCTTTGGCACCTCTCGCTGGGCCGTTGGGGTGGCTTCGCCCGACCCTAGACCTCTCTGGGCTGCGTCCTCTGTGAATCCAGCTCGCAGGCACACCGAGCTGCTGCGTGAGGTAACCGAGCTGAGATCCTTGGCAGGAAGGGGCTGTAATCAGTTTAGCGTGATGCTGTTTTCACACGTTCTACCCACGCGTACATGCAAAAGGCACAACTAACTCCTTCCTGTATTTCTCTCCTTCTGTTGAAGACCTACAGACCACTTCAACCCTCTACCCTCTGCTCCTCTGACAAAGGCAGTTTGTCGTTCCCTGTGGCTGGGCTGATTCGATCCCCTGAAGTGATCCAGGGGAACAAGTGAAATGCCACAACATGACGGGGTTGGGAACTGCTGGGGTTCCTCTCTGTGCCCTGAGCACGTTGCGTTCAGCAAGCTGAAGGGCTGCAGCCAAGGATGGTTTGCTGTGTACTGGGAGTGTTGGGGGGCAAACGAGGACAGAAGTGTGGTTTAAGGCCTGCTGTGTCACCCCAAATCCTGGGGTGAACTCACGTCCCTTAAGGTGGTGCAGGGAGGTTTGTCTAAGGACCCTCGTAGGAGGGAGAGATATAGCACGGGTGGCTCTTTCTCTTAAGGTGGGGGATCTGCTTCCCCATTCTTCTTCTGCTGTTGTGCCAGTGGCCTTGGAGGGGCAAGTTCAGGGTGATGTCATGCACCCTTCAGTGCAGCGGTGTGTGGTGCTAATTGCAACGTGGCCCCGATATTTCTGCAGCCTTTAATCATGAGGGTAGAAGCAGCAGGTAGCAAGAGATGGGAATGACATTTTAATTGCCTAGTCGGTACCCATTCGGGACTTGCTTTCTTTTTTTAATTGCAATTTCCCTTTGGTTTCTTTGTCCCTTTACAACATGAAATCTGCTTTGCCAAGGTTTTGTTTATCTAGGGTCTTATATGTTGAGTTGTTGTAAGGTTGGCTGTCCTGGGAACCTGTGTGTGGTGGCGTTGGGGCACGCTTCCTCTGCATCTCAGGTGGCTTTTTTGTGCTTTCTCATTTCAGAGACTTTGATTCTCTCTCCAAGGATGACGTCTATGAGAATAACCGCTTGGTGAGTCCCCGTTATGCAGTGCACAGAAGGAAGAAGGGACATGAGAATGACTTGGTGGAGGTCGTATAGTGTGGGAGGACTTCGTGATGGTGGTGAGGGTGTAAAAAATCTGTGTAAGTAACAGGCAGGAGATTCTCTGGAAACGTAAGGGAATCTGAAATGTCAGCTTCCAGCCTGAAGAGAAGATGGTTATCTTGATAGTTGCCAAGACATTTCAGGTGAACATTAAAATGGTGCAACATTTTCTTGACCTCATCTGTTCCAGACTTGCAGGCAGTGGAAGCAGGGAGCTAGTTTTACTCCAGGCATAAGCAGAGAGGAAGGTTGTGCTGGCCCTAGGCTGGTCTGCAATGTGCCTTTCCTGCTTGGGATGGCTAGAGCAGGCAGTGCGGAATGAGGAGATGCCCGGGCCAGGGGCCAGGGGTAGGACAAAGCAGCAATAGCCCTGGGGTTTTTTTTTGCTGAGAGAAAGACCTAGTTGCTGTAGCCTCCATCTGATAGTAGTCCATGGAGAGACATGGGCCATCACCTTCCCAAGACGAGTTGAGCTGGGTCATTTGGGTTTTCAGGATTAGGCATTTCCAGTTGGGTCTAGGCCACATGCTTTCCTAGAGCAGCTGGCTCCTTTCAGCCACTAGCAGCTATCTTTTTTCCCATTCCAGAGCCACACAATGGGTTTCTTGTGCTATTAGTGACCCCTAAGCTGGGGTGTCTCCTTGCTCCCTGCTGCTTGCATTCTTGTGTTCAGCAAGGCTCAGTCCAGAGAACCAGTGTAAAGCCAGGCTGAGCAGAGCTGGGTGTCCACAGTGGGCATTTTACACCCCCCATTACTGCAAATACCCATTTTCATTTATTTCTTCATTCCTTTTCTTTAGATCCCACACCCTGCACAGCATCTTGTGCCCCAGAGACCGGGCACCTTCAGTCTTTACCCACGCCCTGCACCTGGTACCTCACCATTCAGTGCCCACACCTCTCTCATCCCCTCCTGACTTGCTTTCTCTTTGGTCCCCGTGTAGTCTCCCATCCCCCCCCCCCCCCCTTGGAGAATCAATGTGGCTACTCTGCCCTTGGCACAACAGCAGGATGGCCGGCGCATAGCCAGTAATCCACATGCACCGCTACGTGGGAAGCTCTCAAACAGCTATTCTCCTCCCTTCACTCCTTCCTTTGAAGTAGCCATGTATGCAGTTGTAGGAGCCGTGTGCTTCTTATCACAACGCCCTTGTCGTTTCGGCTTGCTGAGACACAGAAAAGTACTGAAGTGGCTTGTGCATGGCAGGCTGCTGGCTGTTGAGCTGAGGTGGCTTTGTTAACTGTGGGAGGGGAAGGTGTGGCACCCCAGAGCATGAAAGGATGGGCAGAGGCGATGTTTCTGTGGGGTGAGCATTTGGGGTGGCTGAGGACACTGCTCAGTAGAGCTGGTGTTTAGCTGTGTGGCTGGAAGTGTCTGCCAGCCCTAGGCCCTTCACAGTGCCAGCCAGAGCTCTGCCGGGCTCTTGTGTCAGGGCGCCGGTGGTGGGTCTGTTTCACAGGTTGAAAAAACACTGGATTTTTTTCCAACGAAAACCGAGGCCTCCTGAGAGGTACCCTCCCTGTCTCAGTGCAGCAGCTGAATGCCAAGGCCCCAGGTGGGAGTTGCAGGGGCACAGGCAGCTGGAATGACTTGGAGGAAAGGGCAGCTGCAGCAGCTTGTTCCCTTGCTTCTGATGCCACCTTTCCAGTCAAGTGGCATGCCTGGGAGCCTCTGTCCATCAGCGATGCCATAGGCTTACTCATTAACCTTCCTCAGGTTCCTTCCAACTTGGGTTTCTCTGTTATTTTTCAGAGAGCATCAGTTTTCTCTCCTTAACACCTCTCTGTGTTGTTCCTGCAGGCCTTTGAATTGGCAGAGCGGGAGCTGGGCATCCCAGCCCTGCTAGATCCCAATGACATGGTCTCCATGAAAGTCCCCGACTGCCTCAGCATCATGACTTACGTGTCTCAGTATTACAACCATTTCAACAACCCCAGCCAAGGTGAGTGTCCTCCCACCCCTCTGGCTTCCAGTTTGCCCCCACTTGAGTACAGAAAACCCAGTGTTACCTTGTGCTTCCTCCTTCCTATGGCAAATGGAGCCGTGTGTGTTTGTGGGGAAGGGGAGAGGAGCAGGTAGTACCTGCCTGTCCTGGATCTTACTGGTGCCAGTGAGGAAGGCCTGGGACAGGGGGTGGAGTAGGGTGAGGTTTCACAAGAGGTGGGGAGTGATTTAACAGCTCAGGCTGCGGAAAGAGGAACGCCTTGTTTCTCCTCCCTCCGAAGCTGCATTTCTGCCACTTGGGTTGGGCCACCACCCCTAGTGCTTATCAGACCCCTTTGTGATCTACTTTAACCCACTACAACGGGAGAAAGCTAGATAGGCAGCCCGCCTACCACAGCTAATTTTTATCACATCGGTAAGTGTGAAGCGACTGGAGAACAGAGGGAGGGGAGCCAGGGTGGAGAGTCTCAAATCAGCTCATACGTCCTTGCAACTGCAACCTGAGCTGAGTGCTGCTCTGAGACACCTCTTCTCCTGGGTGGAAATGAGGGCTCCAGGTCTCTGCTTCGCTCTCTAGCCACGACATCAGGTAAATCTCTTCCACGTGCGTGCAGTTTTCCAAGGGTGCTGGCCTCCCAGCCAAGGCCTTGCTGGGGATTGGTGTGTTGAGTGCCAGTGCTGATGGGCAAGGGATGCTTCGCAGACCTGCTGACAGCCTGGAAGCCCTGGGGCCCGGTGGGTCACAACAATATATCAGCAGCTACCCAGGGTGCTCTGGGCTTTAAGCATTGCTTAGGAAGGAAGCCAAGCAGCATTTGATGAGTAAATCCAGTCACAGTGAGAGGCTGGTGTCCCTGGGCCGCAGAAGGGGATCCACAGCAGGGCCAGCCTCTGACAGCCTCGCAGCTGACCCATTATTAGATTGTGTTCGTCTCTTCCACCTAAAATAGGCGCTGAAGTGTCCAGAGCAGCAACTCACGTCCTGTGTCACAAGGCTCGATGGTTTTTTTTGGTTTTTTTTTTCCCCTCCCCTTCCCCCACATGGGTGGTGTGAGTCACTGCTCCTCTGGGTGCCTGATCCTCCTTGCCTTCTGCCTCCAGCCAGAGTCCCTCCACCTATGAAGCGCCCGGCCGCTGCCTCTTCGCCTCCTCTGCTGTCCCACAAGAAGCCCGTGGCTGTGGTCGAGAGTCCCCCAGCACCACAGGTACCTAATTTCTTGATTTAAAGCCAGCCTGAGGCAGTGGTGCTCCCTGTACTGCAGGTGAGGAGACAGGAGAGAGCCTGTCGCAACAGGATGGATCTTTGCAGGAGGCTACCTGTGTATTTTGGGGTGGGAGGGGTGTTTGAGATTTTGGTGCCTTGGGGGACCCAGCTGAGAGAGTGATTTCTCTCGAGGAGTCTGTGGACTGAAATTTGTCCACAGCAGGCAGGAGGTTAGATGAATTGGTGCCAGATGGTTCCTTGAGCCACCCACAGCACAAGCACCCTCCTTCCTATGGGAGGATAACCCTGTAGATGAGGAAAGAGCAGGCATGTGGGATCAGAAGAGCAGAAAAGGTTTCTTTCTTTCTTGGCCCTTTATTTCCAGTTTTAGCAGATGTCTGGGAAGGCACATTTCCCAAAGTGCTAGGGGGCACCTTTTGCAGGTCCCTACTGTCTGGGGTTTAGATTAGTCCCTTCCACAGCCCTTCATCCCTAGATAGGGACAAGGCATCTTTTGGAGCAGCCCCTTCTAATTTGGGAAGAGGCAGCCTGCTTGTGCCTGGAGTCAGGGACAGCTGTCCTGTGCATTGTCAGCGCCTGAGCTGTGCCACAAGCACTCAGCGATGGGCCTTGCACAGGGAGCAGCTGCTCTGGAGGAGCCGCGGGCTGGGGAGCCCCTCGTGGCCCCCATCCTGAGCTCCCCATGCGTTGTGTCTCAGGACGATGCCCCTTCGGACCATTCGGAGCGGTCCCAGCGCACCACGCTCAGCAGTACCTGCGCGGCCTGCCAGCAGCATGTCCATCTGGTCCAACGCTACCTGGCTGAGGGCAAGCTCTACCACCGCCAGTGCTTTAGGTATGTTCTGGCTGGGCCTGGTGGGGTGGCCGCTCTCCTCTGCGACCTGGAGGTCTCTGGCCAGCTGCACCCCATTTTTGTGTGTCTGTGCCCTTGGGCAACATGGAGCATCAATGACAGTGCTCGAAATGAGGCTGAAGAGGGTCCATGTGCCAGCCAGCCACCTGTCCCAGGGGTCAGACTAGCCCCTTGTATCCAGCCCTGTGCTGCTTGACACCTCTACTCCCTGCCTCTCCTGCTCTCTTTCACTTTTGCACTTCACTGAGTTGGGATCCAAGCCCCTTGTGCTTCTCCCATCTCCATAAACCAGGATGCTCTGCCTCTTTACCACCTGCCCACCCAGAACCTCCACCACCACCTTCCAATGAGGTCTGAGCCAGGACATCATCCTACAGACCTCCTTCCACCTACACTCCACATCCTCAACTGGATATACAGGCTCCCATGCTGCCTGGGGTGTTGCTGAGCTCTCAGGGGAGCATGTGGAGAGCTTCAGACTGTTCCCAAACTGAGGAATGAGGGATTAGACGTCAGCAGCTCTGTGGTTACTGCCTGGGTGCAGGTCCTTACCTGCAGCACCTGTGAAGTCATTTCACTTTGCTTTCCCTGCTCTGATGATGAAGGCATGAGATCTCTCATGTGGGCCACAGGACAAGAGCTGGCAAGTGGGCAGCTGGAATATTGAGCCACTGGGAAGATAGGGGAGGCCTTGTTCACCTGTATAAACAATTCCTGCCTAAGCCAGCTGAGGTTGTGTCATAGAAACAGCATTTGGAGGAGGGAAGCTGAGCTGGGGCCCATCAAGCTTCTCATCTGCAGCTGGGGCAAAAGCAGGAGCTTCGGCGTGCAGGCGCAGCATTGCTTGTGGGCCAGGAACAGGAGAGGTGCCATGTCCACTTTGGCACAGCTCATGGTCCTTCAGACTGGGCAGTGAGATCCTTTTAATGTTTCCCCTTCTTGGCTTTTCTTAGCTTTTGGTTGGTTGTTTTTGTGCTTTTTTTCCCCTGCTGATTGATGGGTGCTGTTTGGTCAGGACTGTTTTCTGTGGATTGACGGAGGTAAAACCAAAACAAACCTCTTTCTCCCCTTGTCCAAACTTGCCACCTCTTCATTTCATTATACCCCTTCTCTCTAGAGCCCCTGCATCCTCATGCTTCTGCTCTACATTTCAAAGGAAATCCCAGTCGACTGGATACCCAGAGCAGAATTTCTCACCAAAATTATCTGCTTGCAGTGGAGCGCAGCCAGCTGCTGCGAGCGCCAGGTATTCAGACAAGAAGGAACAAGCTTGGTTTTCATGCGAATGCTTGATCAGCCCCTTGCCCTTGGCTCTTTCACATATGCCATCTGCCTCCTTTCCCAGGCGGAAAAGGGCTGACTTGACTGCCAGTCCTGTGTGTTACACTTGTGCCTGGAGGGCTTCACTAGGGAGGATTCAAAGGCCCAGTGGGAAAAGATGATCCAAGGAGATGTGGCAGATGGTGAAGGACGGGGAAGCTATTACCCCAGTTTCAACAGGCAAGGCAGAGTGCAGGAATGGCCCTGCTCCGTCATTCCCTCGTCCTGCCAGCCAAATGCCGTGACCCTGGTGGGGGCCGTGGTCCGCACCAGCGAGGGTGAGTGTGAGACCAGGCTAGGCTTGTATGCTGCTTCCCCTGACTGCTCTTCAGGCCTCCAGCGCAAGGATCTCCCCGAGTTGGAAGTGGCATCATTTTATTTAATAGTCAGAGTTTGGGAGGGGGGTGGTGTTTATTTTTCCCCCCCACAAACGTGTCTGACAGTTCTTTAACTCACCTGGATCTTTGGTCCCCGCAAGGCAGCCTGTAGCCTTGCTGTGCCAGTTCTGAACCAGCTGCTCCCTAGTTCCAGGTGGTACTCCTTGTTTCATGTCTGTAAATGGCTGATCCCTCTCACCCTCCCAGGGCCACCTGTGATCTTGTAGCCCTCTCTCCTGTTCCCCACCAGCTGCATATTTTCCAGGAAAAGTGTGGGTTTCTACTTTTCCAGGTCTGGAAACCATGCCATATCCCAGTACCAACTGTTGCACTTCTACATCTATTGAATCCTTTCCAAGTTGAAGGAGGGACCCAAGTGCACACAGTGTTTGAGTTGTGAACTCCCCGTGGGTTCATACAGTGGCATTGTGATGTTTCTCTGTTCCTCTGCTTTCCCGAATGACTTCCCCAAGACTGTACTAGGATTTAGTAGCAGGGGTGGGAGCTAACTCCACATCCCTACAAGGATCTTCCAGGTGTGTTGCCTTCCCTGAGGGGCAGGATGGTGTTCCCCATCTCACAGAGCGCTCTGTTCTTGTTGGCAGGTGTAAGGAGTGCTCCAGCACGCTGCTCCCAGGGTCTTACAAGCCTGGGTCAGAGGCGGGGACTTTCGTCTGCACGCAGCATCGTGGCAAATTGGCCATGAGTGGGAAGGCAGAGAGGAGGCCCAGCCCAGACCGACGGTCGCCAGAGCTAAGAACTGAAACTGAGGCTGGCGGCGTGGGTGAGGGTGCCCTTCCCGCAGGAGCAGAGGTGGGGAAGGACGATGGTGACTCCCTGGAGAGCGTGGCAGAGACCCATATGCCTGCAGAGGGGCTAGGTGGCCCAGCGGAGAAGGACAGCACATCCAGCAAAGCAGAGACAGTGATGCCCCTTGCTCACGCAGGCAGCGGGGCGTCCATCTCCCCAACTCCTCCCAGACCTCCACTTCCCAGCAAGCCTGCAGGGCTCACCCAGGACAAAGCCAGCTCGGTGGACGGACAGCTCAGAGACATGCGGCCCACCCCCGCCCCGAGGAGGTCCACCGATGCATCAGCCCTCTCCCCTCCGACCTCTCACCCTGTCCCCCGGCCCAGGTCCACCCTCCAGGGCGAGAACAGCGAGTGTGGGCCTGGCATGGTGAACGGTAAGAGAGCGCAGTGGTGGTGGCAGGGGTTACCCTCCACCTCCCCAGCAGCTGAGGTGTTCGGCTGCAGGTTGGATGAGTTTCATTCCTTCTCTGCAGCCTGACGCCTTTCTGCCTCTGAATAAATCTCGGACACAGAGCCTTCAGTGGTCAGCCATCCCCATAGTGGGGAGAGCAGCGCTAGGTTTCACGCCTGCCTGCTCCCTTATATTTCTCCAGAGCTCTCCAGAGGGTGCTGCCAGCATGGGGGGAAGGTGGCAGTGCTAGAGCAGTTTGCAGGTGTGAGGACAGAGGGGCATGTCAGTTCTCCAGGTGCAGCTTCCGGGGTGGGGTGGGGAGAAAAAGGCAAAGGGGATGTTTGGGGTTGACTGATTGCACTGGCCGTGGGAGAAATACCATGAGGTCTTCAGAGAGTGGGCATAGCCAGCCTCCCGCGGGGAGATGTGTAAGAGGTGCCTCGTGTTGATTTAACCTCTTTCTTCGTGTCCTTTTGGTGTTGTGACAGTCTGACCCTGTGTCTTTCTAGGTAGGGTACCTGAACCCAGCCCCCCTGTCCCAAAACCCCGAGGGAGACCCTGCTCCTCTGATCGGTACGTCCTTCTGTTCGCAGATCATCTGCAAACCCCATAGCGAGGCGGGGCTGTGGGGACAGCTCAGCTGTGGTCTCCTCTCCCACCTCGGTCAGCCCCTGCTCTTAGGAGGATGTAGGCTATGATCAGGTCCCTTCCTGTACCTAACGGGTGCCAGCCCAGTATAGTCAGGCTGGCAGTGCTTGTCCGTACCTCCCAGGGTCTTTGTCTTTTACGGTTTGTAAAGAGTCTGGGGGCTTCAGAAAGGCGTTTCTGTGGCACGTGCAGACTGCCTAGTGCCTTCTGAAACGGCCCTGCTTGTGGGTGCTGGGAAGGTGACACTTGTCTGCCTTGTGGAGGGTTTGTCCGGGGAAAGATCCAGTGCGGGGACATTGTGAGTGCCTGGCTGCAACCTTTACATCTCCTGGGCTCTTACCCAGGAGCTCGCTGGTGTTGGGTTGTTCTTGCCTGCTCTTGGGGCAGAGGTTGTGCAAGCACCCAGTGTTTGCAATGGCCGAGGAGCAGGTGCGTGCGGCAAGTGATGGCCGCTTTCCTGATGAGCAGTGATTCACTGAGCTTGCCATGGGCTGTGCCCCCAGAGGAGCAGCGGTGCTTCCAGCCGCTGGAGTTAGCAAAAAGGAGTCTGTCCCTGGGACGCTTGGATAACAAGGTGACAAACAGCCCTCTGAAGCGAAGGAAGGGAGCATGACCACAGAGGACGGGTATCTGACCTCGACTTCCCCTCCATCCACAGCCTGGGGAGCAGAGCTGGGTGTAGGAATGGTGTTGGGGAGAAGAGAACAGCTGTGCCCATAAAGCTCAGCCTTTACTGCTGACTAGCAGATGGAAGCTGTACTACTCAGATCCCAAAATGCTGGGCCCGGCAGGCAAATCAGGCAGGCTGTGCTTCTCATGGCCGTAGGTCTGCCCGCAGAGAACGAGACACTTTGTGTCTGGGGAAGACTAGGGCCACCCTTGGATGAGGAAGCTGTTCTGTATGAGAGGCATCCCGCTCCATCCATCCTTTCCCCTAAGGGGTAAATCCCTCTCCCGTGCCTTGCCATCCCAGCTTGTCTTTGCTCCCTACCTCCTCGATCTCTCTTTCTCTTCTCCCAGGACTGGAGCTGCTGCGAGAGCCAAGGACCCGCCATGGATGGCCTTAGTGCAAGCAGAGCCCAAGAAGAAGCCAGCTCCCCCTCCTCCCCCAGGCAGTAGCCACGAGACATTGAGTAGGACTTCAGAGGAGGAGGATGGGGAGGAGGCGGGGAAAGCCAGGAGCGAGGAGAGTAGGTCTGATGCCACAGAGCCCAAACCGTACAACCCCTTTGAGGAGGAGGATGAGGAGGAAGAGGAGAGTGCTGCTGCCCAAAAGAGCACGCCTGAGCAGGAGCAGAGCGAGACTGCTGCCAAGCCTCTCCACCCCTGGTACGGCATCACTCCCACCAGCAGCCCAAAGGCGAAGAAGCGGCCAGCTCCGCGAGCCCCCAGTGCTTCCCCGCTAGGTGAGCTTCCCGCCCCATTCCCTTATCCCTCCTCCGCAACCCCTCTGCAGCCCCTTGGAGGCTGCCCCTTCCCGGGTGCCTCTGCATCACCCTGGCAGGCCAGGCCTTTATGCAGTGATGGTTGTGCTGGGGCTTGTGCTAGCCATGTCCTCTCTACCCACTGGAGCACAGCATTTGCAGGCAAGGCCTTTGTCCTGGAGGGTCCCTTCTGTCTTCTCTGAAGGCAGACAGACAGACACTGGTTCCCTTTGCACTCACCTTTGCCTCCAGTGTATACCACTATCCCTTCTCTCCTGGCTGCCCCCCTGTTCCTCCCTGAGCTCTCCCTTTGCTTTGCAGCCCACCACCCCATCTCCAGGCTGTCACACTCTGAGCCATCATCCTCTACCCCATCTCCAGCCCTCAGCCTCGAGAGCATCAACTCTGAGAGTTCAGCCAAGGTGCTGGGTGACACCGACGAGGCCTCAGTGCCCAAAAGCTCCTCCGAACCCACTGTCCACACGCCGACGGCCACCAAGATCTCTAGCACCGACACGCCGCTGGCCAGCATCTCCTCCAGCGAAAGCCCTGCTGCCCCAGCCAGCCTCTCAACCAACTCCTCCTTCTCCTCCTCCAGCGAGCTGGCCAGCTTCAGCGGGGAGGCGCAGG